GTCAGCTACAAAGTTTTTCCAACTCAGCATGCAACAATGACAACAGAAATCACATATCCATCTGACCTACTGCACTGTCACACTCTACTCATGAGGTCAGCATATCCTCACAACCAACACGTCAAAATCTGGTCCCTACCTAAGCCTCACCCCAAGAGGCGGCCCTGTTCTACCCAGTCATTTCCTCAGACAAGCCCTCTCATCTTTGTCTCTATTCTTACCATAGTCTGCTATATCCTCTGACCCTCTTGCTTTCTTTCAGGAGCCTGAGGATTGTGCCTGTAGGCTGCCTCCTGATTAGTGAGGGCACCATCTCTGACTGCAGTGCTTCCTTCTCACTGGGCACCCCTGCCTGGCCACAGCTGGAGTGGGGCACCCTGTGCACAGCTTGTCATCCCTGGACATTTCAGGCTGGCAGGGACTGTCTTTTCACACTAGCTAATCTCTTACCCTGCCTGCATCAAGCCCTTAAACTGGCAAAGATGTGATCTCTAGCTCGTCAGACTAACTCCTCTGAGGCCAGCTAAGATGTCTCAGGTGGGGTACCCCATCCTTCGATACACCCCTAGACCACAGGTGCTATTGTTTATCTGGATCACATGCTGGGGCTTCAGCCACAACTTAGACAAACACTCTGACCTGACTGGGTACCTCAACTTCAATCTTCTGTAGATACTCTATTCCAGGCCAGACAGCTTGGGTTTTGTTTCCCACAGTTTTAAAGGTATTTATCTACTTTGTTTTATTACTTGTTCTTAAGAGCATGGCATCTGTCTGACAGTTTCCAACACTGTGGGACTTTGCATGTTGCTGGTAACTATACAACCAGTATTCCAAATATCAGCAGGGTCACCTAGGGATCAGTAGATTTTTCAGACTAAGCAGCCAGGCTTTCAAAAATCCTATAAATAACAAAAAGAACACTGACAAACATTGTGCCGGCAGAGTAGTCACTCAGATTGGAAGGAACTAAGAAAAGATGAGTAACAGCTATAACAATCTATTCATAATTGTTGTTAACTATTGTGACGTTGGAACTGACTCATAACTGATCCTCCAGTGGGTTTTCAGAAATAGTAAACTGCATGAGAGGAGAATGACTATCTTTTTCCCGCTAAGCAGCTGGTGTATTCAAACCACATGCCTTTGGGTTGGCAGCTGAGCTCTTCCCTATTAATAATTGGAACATGGAATGTATAAAGTATGAGTCCAGGAAAACTGGAAGTCATCAAAAAGAAATATTCTCTAGGCATCAGTGAACTGAGATGGATTGCTGGTCATTCTGAATCAGAAAATCATGATCTACAATGCTAGCAATGACAAAATCAAGAAGTATGGTGCTACATTCACTGTCAAAAAGAACATGTCAAAATCTATCCTGTAGTACAGCTGATGGTCACAGGATACTATCCTTTCTTTTTTGTGTACGTAGCCCAACGATTATTCAAACATAGCACACCAACCACTAAAGCCAAAGATGAAGAAACTGAAGATTTCTACAAGCCTGTGTAGGCTGAAATGAATCACACATGCAATTGTGGCATTAATAGTAATTGTTGACTAGAATGCAAAAGTTAGGAACAAAGAAGGACTGATAGGTAAAAATATAGCTCTGGTGAAATAGGCCAGGAAATCAAATACCAGAATTTTGGTAGTGTCAATGACCTATTTATTACAATTTCATTTTTTAAAAAACATAAATAGTGACCATATACATGAGCATCTACCTCTGGGCTACACAGGTATCAAGATGATTACATCTGTGGAAAGAGTTGAGGGAGAAGTTCTGTAACAGCAGTCAAAATAAGGCCAAGAGCTGACTGTGGAAAAGACTACAAACTGCTTTTATGCAAGTTCAAATAGAAGCTGGAGAAAACAAATAAAAATCAAGTCCATGAGAGCCAAAATAAGATCTTGAGTACATCTCAAGTGAATTTAATAAACCATCTCAAGGTTAGATGTAATGCAGTTAACACTAACGACTGAAGACCATGAGAGTCTTGGGACATCATCCATAAAGAAAGCAAAAGGTCATTACAAAGACAAGGAAGAAAGACAAGACCAAAGTGGATGTCAGAAGAGACTCTGAAATTTGCACTGGAATGTATAAAAGTCAAAGCCGAGTGTTAAAAGGAAATATGTAAAGAGCTGAAAACAAAAAGGGAAGAACAAGCTATCTCAAGTTCAAAGAAGTGAAAAACAAATTCCAGCCTTGAATTGCAATACTGATGGACTATATGGACAAAATACTGAATTATGCAAAAAGCATCAAAAGAAGATGGAAGAAATACAGAGCTACTGTACCAAAAGGAAATGGCTGACGCTGAACTATTTCAGGAAGTAGCATATGATCAAGAATCTATGATTCTCGAAGAAGTCAAGGTTGCACTGAAGGCCAAAAAATAAAACCCATGGAATTCCAACTGGGGTGTTTCAAGAAACAGATGCATGGCTCCTAAGAACAGAACTGTTTTACTTTTTATTATGATTTATGTGAAAGTTTATGGATTTTACTTCCTTTTTATTGGGATTTAGATGAAACTTTATTTAGCTTGAAGTTTTGAATCATCTGTTTGTCTTTTTTCCCTTTCTTTTATTACTGATATTAAACTGTGTTATCCGTGCAAGCGTATATTGAAGACTATTTGGACATTTCTTGCTTAACAAGAAATGTCAATAAGAACTGTTCTCAACAGAAAAAACATTAAGATTCCCTACTTTGATAAATGCTCTTTGTGCCAGGCTATAGTTAATAGAAGACATTCATTTTGCTTTCATCTCAGTTTATTAAAAACCCACTACTGAAATAAACTTTTCTTTGAAGACTAGTAATGTTAGCATATCAGTTAATATCACTTAGGGTACATATTATTCAAAATGTTAGAAAAACAATAAGGTGCATGCATCAACTGTTTCATCAGACTCTATATACTTTAACCAATTAGATGCATCTTAAATATCACAGAGTAAAATGGAAAACTTACCTAAAAAGCACTAAAGTTAAATCAGAGTATACAATTGTGTTCCAACAGATACCCAAATTAAATGTAAAGTTAAGGAATTGGTTACAGGTTAAAATCTGACTTTCTCTAATGCTACATAAATTTTGTTCTTGATATGTGGGATTATTTTCAAAGTTATAGTTTGCACTGTTGTTTTTGTTTGTTTTCCTGCATAAACTGTTCAATAAAAGACGTAAACTTTAAAAAAAAAAAAAAAAAAGAAACAGATGCAGCCCTAGACATCCCATCTGGCTGTGCCAAGAAATGTGGAAGACAGCTACCTGACCAGTTTGCTAGAAGGCATCATGTTTCCATCCCCAAAATATGGTGAACCAAAAGAGTGAGGAAATGATGGAACATTATAATTTATTGTTGCTGTTGTTGAATACAGTGGAGTCAAAACTGACCTATCGCTGACCCTCCAGCAGATTTTCAGAGGCAGTAAAATAGCCCAGGAGAAGACTCCTCCCACTAATATCACATGCAAATAAAATCTCACTAATGATTATTTTAAAATGGACAGAGGGTACACTGTGACTGTCAGTATGTAGGGAACTCCCAGCAATTCAAGTTGGATTCAGAAGTGTTATTGCTGATGTCAGATGGATCCTGGATAAAAGCAGGGAATAACAAAACGATGTCTGTGTTTCATTGACTATGCAAAGGTTTTTGACTATACAGATCATAACGAACTATGCATAACATTGAGAAGAATGGAATCTCAGAATACTTAATTGTGTTCATTTAAAACACACACAAAGACCAAGCAGTTGTCCAGAATAAAGGGAGGCTTCATTGTTTAAAATCAGGAAAGGTGTGTGTCAAGGTGTATCCTTTCTCCGCACCTACTCAATTTGTATGCTAAACGAAGCGGGTCTATGTGAAGAATGTGGTACCAGGACTGGAGGAAGAATCATCAGCGATCTGCGTTATACAGAAGATACAATCTTGCTTATATAAAGTGGAGAAGATTTGAAGCACTTACTGCAGAAGATCAAAGACTAGAGCCTTCAATGTGGGTTATATTTCAACATCAAGAAAAAAATATTCTCACCACTGGCAACATCAGGATAGATGGAGAAAAGATTGAAATTGTCAACAATTTCATTTTACTTGGTTCCACAATCAACACCCACTGTAGCAATAATCAAGAAATCAAAAGATGTGAAGGGAAATAGGCTTTCAAGGACTTCTCCAAATTGCTAAATAATGAGGATGTCACTTTAAAGACTAAAGTGTACCTAAAAAGTGGACACTAAACAAGGAAGACTGAAGAAGAATCACTGCCTTTGAATTGTAGTGTTGGTGAAATTATTTAGTAAGTCATGAACAAATCTGTCTTAAAGAAAGAAGGGTGCTCGCTCCTTGAAGGCAAGGATGGTGAAACTTCCTTCATCTCTTATACTTTGGGCACATTATCAGGTGGAACAGCACTTGGAAAAAGACAAGGTCAGAGAAAGAGAGGAAGACCCTGAAAAGATGGACTGACATAGTGACTCTGGTAACAGGCTTGAGCCTGGGTGAGATTGCGAGGTTCATACAAGCTAGGGCAAGTTTCCCATCTGTTGTAGAGGGTCGTTATGAGTCAGTCGACTCCTGGCACCTAACAAGTGACTGTGAAAATCCAGGCTATAATCCCCACTCATACAAACCTCCTATTTCCCTCAACATTTCATGTACTCTGTACCATATCCTGGACTGGAATATTCCAACAATCATTTTCCAAGCCACTTATCTTCTAATTACCACATATTTCTTGCTCTCTATGACAACTCTCTGAAATGTGATTTTAAGTTCTTGGAGGACAGAAGTGATGTCTTAGATTAATTTTTTCTTTTTCTCAATGTCAAGTCAACTATATAAGAATTCAGTACGTATCTATCAAGTCAACTATATAAGAATTCAGTATGTATCTATCTATCTATCTGATTCACAGATACTGACAATTTAAGGATCTCAAATTGTATGTCTTCCATAAAACACTGAGATTCCACCTACCTTTTGCTACAGCTGCTGGGGCAGAGCTGGGGACTACTGGAGCCGGGGCAGCTACAGGAACAATGGTAGGCGATTTGGTGGCAGCAAATGACTGAACTACTAAAGGACCAGAAGAATGGGATACAACAAAGGTCAAAATCAGCATGGTGAGAATTACACCTCATGGCCTGTGTGTTAGACTAAGATCACAAAAGCAACTTCAGGACAAAGTAAAAGATTAAAAGACATTTTTAAAAACAAAGTCAATTTGTGTGTGTGAAGATGTTGACCTGGGCCATATCATGTGTGTGTCTGTGTGTTTGTGTGAGAGACAGAAAGAGGGGGGAGAGAGGGAGGAGGAGAGGGGGAAGAGGTAGAGAAGATATTGACCTTGGCCACGTCAATGTCAGAGCTCCTCTATAGCTTGTTCATCTGGTGCTTGCTGGCCTTAACACAGTGAACAATCTTACCTACAATGAACACAAATGTGTGGTTATCTTCTATTTTCTTGACTGGTTTAGTGATCAGGGGAACCTAATGATGGCACAGTGGTCAAGCCTGTTTCTCCTGGACGTTCTTCTGGGGGTACCTGGGCTGCCTTCAGAATCTCAGCACCTTGGGCCACTGGAAGGTTTTCTGTGGCTGTGGATGCCCTTTCAGGACTGCCTTCTTGGCCTTTAACACCTGTGCTTTGGCTTCAGTTTTTAAAGAAGCAGGGGCTTCCTTCTTCGCTTTCAGTGCCATCTTCATAAAATAGCAACCCCAAACCTTTTAACTGTTAACTGGGTGAAGGTTACAGGGCAGATCAATCTCCCACTCAGTGAGTCACAGGCATGATTTCATGTCATTGACTGCAATCCCCACAATATACTGTTACTCATCCCATTTTCTCCTTGTTTCTATTCTTGATTTTCTACTCTCTTGCCTTCTGAACCTCCTGCTGCTCTTCCATAAAACACTGTGCGATTCAATGGGTGATTATTCTAAGGAGTACATCTACTTTCTTAATGTTGCTGCTGGCCTTATAAGCCTGTGCAATGCTTGGCTCAAAGCTGAGCCATGGAGATGAACTCAGCTATAAGTCCAAAGAATGACTAAGGGCCACAGTCTTGTGGTTTCCATCAATCTTTCTCTCAATCCATACAAAACCCTCTAATGCATTCCCTTTCAGAAGCTGGGCACCATCCAATTCTTCTGGTTACAAGGTTTTGGACTCTAAGATTTGCATGGTTCATCAGTCCTCTGGATTGTTTCCAAGTATTATTTACCTTCTTCATTTTCCTTTGCTCTGGACAGAAAGACCAATAGATGCACCTTAGACATCCACTCAAGGAGTCCTGGTGATATAGTGCTTAACTTATTGGCTTGTTAACCAAAAGGTTTGTGGTTTAACTTGAGCAGCTGCTCTGCAGGAGAAAGGTGGGCAATCCCCTCCTGTAAAGATTTATAACCACTGAAACCGACAGGAGGATGCCTATGAGTTCACCCACTCAGTGACAGTGGGTAGATGCCACTCACAAGCTCTTTTTTTTCCTTACACACAGAGAAATGTATTTACTTAAACCAGTCTCTATGAATCTTTAATTATCATTCAAAACAAAACCTAATAGCAAGGTAAGGTTACTACCACACTTAGGTGCCCTTAAGGTGTTACTTCTGAAATATCAAATCATGAAAAAGAGAAACAATCTCTATTTAAGAATTTCCAATGGAAAACCTGGTAATTATACTGTATTAGGATAGAATGTGCCACCTCAGCAGGCCCTGAGGCTATAAAATTTCTATCACAATTACTTTTGCAAACCTGGCTCCCCTTGCTTCTGCAACATCATGCAGAGCTAATGATCGAGTTGCCATACTCACAAACTTTTAAGAGTTCAACTGCTTATTCCCCAAAGTAGGTGAGTGGACTATGCTGCAACAGTTGACTTTGATATTCCCTGCAACACATTCCTCAAGTTGTCTGATTATGGATAAGACGTTTTCATAACTTTCCCTAATGAACAGCATATTCAAAGGATGTATTTACAGCTTATTTCAATACACATATTGAAATACATTCTGCCAACCAAATATATTTGTGGGTATGAGTCTCCTTCTGACACCTGTTCATCTTGAATGTCTAGGTATCTCTCCACTTGTGGATTACTGTTATTAACAATATTTACTTTTCTGTTCTTGGGCTCCTCCCCATGACTCCCTTTGTCATAATCCATTTCTGTGACTCTATCCGTTACTTTATCTTCCTTTTCACCCAAATTAAAAGTCTTTCTTTAAAACTAAAGCGCTAAGTTGGACTGTTAATTTACTATTAGCACCAAAGTAACTGAGTTCTATTTGCAATGATGGAAACTGTGGCTTTTTATGAAATCAATAATAAAATAAAAATCAATCTAAACACTAATATCTGCATAAAATGTGAGGATAGTACAGGAGAGGGCAACGTTTAGAGCTGCTGTTCACAGAATGACTATGAGGTGTAGCTGGCTTGATGGCCTCTACCACCACCACGCCCCAACTTTAGAAATGGGCAGGAACTTAGAAGCCAGTGGGTTATATATGTTTTACTTTCAGCCCTAGAGTTAGTGTTCTTTGTTTTAAGGTACAAAGGAGTAGATACCGTGACAGCTGATGGGTAAATTATAGAAAGGAGGGGCAGTCACCATAACCAGCAGAATATGGACTTTTCTCACCAACACAGTGTGACAGGTTCATCAATGAAGGGCTCACCTTTATTCACAGGCATGAGGATAGTCTGCACACCTCCAGATGTACTGACACTGAGTGGTTTGAGCTGGCTAGGAATCGTCAGGACAGCCTGCTGGGGATTGGACTGGCTGGAGTGGATCTTTAACAGTCCTAAAATAAGTTGGAAGATAAGGCAAACTTAAGATCAGATGCATTAAAAGTCCCTTGGGCCACCTGCCATTCCTATTTTCTCAGAGGAAGAGACTCAGGAAAAACTCCTTTTCAAGAAATCAAAAATTAGATGCATAGAGAATAACAAGTATCAATGTAACACAAAAGTAACTTATTTTTAAAGTATTCCTATCCCCAAATTACAAAGCAGTACAGGAAATTCCTTAAAAAGGCGATCAGAAAAGAGAATAACTCACTAAACAATCAGTTACTTAATTAACAGTGAGTATAAATATTTTGGAATAGTTTCTGTCCATGTTTATTTTATAGACCAAGTTATTTGCTGTATACATACAACAGGATATAAAATTTTGTATTTTACTTTCCCATGTACTGTTCAAATGACTGTTTCTTCTATGTACAGGTTAAATTGTCAATGATTTTTCCTTTTATTGGACCCAGGTTGGTAGCAGTCAAGAAATCAAAAGCTATGCTGCACTGGGAAAATCTGCTGTCAAAGACCTCTACAAAGTTCTAATGAGCAAAAATGTCAGTTTAAACACTAAGATGCACCCGATTCAAGACAAGGTATTTTCAATTGTTTCTTATGCATCTGAAAGTTGGACAATGACTAAGGAAGATGGAAGAACTGATGCCTTTGAACTGTGGTGTTAGCGAAGACTATTTAATATAGTACGGACTACTGAAAGAACAAAAAACCTGTCTTGGATGAATTGTAACCAGGATGTTCCTTTAAGGCAAGGATGATAAAACTTCACCTCATGTATTTTGGGCATACTGTCGGAAAGGGCTAGTCCTTGGAGAAAAACATCATAAGAAGGTTAGAGGGTCAAATAGAGAAAGATCCTCCAGAAGATGGAGAGACACAGTGACTCCAAGAGTGGGCATACATTTGGTAGACCTGATCAGTTCGCTACAGACAGGCAAGGTCTCAATCTGTTGTTAAGGATCCACTGTGAGCCATAGTAGGTTCAAGGGCACCTAGTAATAACAAAATGTAGTCCTAAAATTTCAAGGATCAGGACTTTTTCATTTATCATTTTAAAAGGGGTCAGTGACTGGGGTAATGGGGATAGGTTGGCACAGGATAGAGTAGGGTTTAGGGCTGCTGCACACAGGGTTACAATGAGTTATAGGCGACCTGCATAAGAACAACAACAACATTCTCTTCTACTTTCTTTTAATAGTTATATCCACCCACTACAATTATTCTAAAAAAAACAAGGTCAAAATCTGTGGGCATCCAGAGAGCAAATAAAAACCACAAAGGGCCCACAAAGGGAGAATGCACAAAAGCTGAGAGCAAAAAGAGCCAAGGAGAACACAGCAGCTACTAAAAACCACCTCAGAGGCTAAACATACTTTGGGGCACTAGGAAACGGTCTGACTTTAGGGAAAGGGATCACCTGTAAATCTTTCTGAAACAAAAGCTTAAATAATTAAGAAAAAAATGTTGCCCCCCCCGGATAGATGAGTGTTCACTCAATTAAGTAGTAAGTACTTCCTGAGACATGACCTAAAAAAATTAAAAAAAAAAAAAGGAAAAAAAAAACAACCCCAAACGAAACAATCAGCCCACTGCTGGCAAGCTGTTTCTGACTCATGGGGCTCCTCCACTTGGGTTTCCATGGCTGTGCACCTCTGTGCGAACTGGCTGTGTGCTAAGGGAACACCTTTTCCTGTAGAAAAGGTGGATCTGAACTGCTGACATTTCAGCTGGCATCCAAACACGTCGCATACTATGCTATGACTCCTTGAGACAAGATCACCGAGGACTACAGACTTTTTCTGCAGTTTTTATTAAAATATAATATGCTGATCAGTTATTAAAACTAACTACTGCCACCTTTTAAAAGCTCAGAGGTTTGAGACCTCCAGTCGCCTGACAGACAAAGCTGAGGCAGTCTTTTCCCCCCAGTTAGTTCTTGGTCTCTCAGGATGGCGGAGTGAGAACCAACCAGACAGCAGTAGGTGTCTAGCTTGATACTCTCTTTCCTATATTCTAGTATCACTCTCTGCTGATACAATCAAGTATTAATAGGACTATACTTTTTTTTTAAAGTAAAAGAAAAGATTCTTTCACTGTTTTACAAATCCTCCCCCAGGTCCCCTCCACCGTGTAGCCCTCGCTCTAGACTCCTGTGATGACAGAAATACCTAGTCACATATCTCTTTTACACAGTTTTCTCCCTCCTCTGTTTCAGTGCAGTATACATTATTGAACACATCTTACTCAGTCTCTCTCCAACCCTGAGGTTAGTCCCATTCTACAACAGTGGCATCATGTAATATTTGTCCTTTTGTGACTGTGATATTTCACTCAGCATAATGTTCTCCAGAGTCAACCATTTTGAATAATATTGCATGAGTTCCTTGTTTTTTAATGCAGCATAGTAGTCCATTGTGCGAATATGCCACAGCTTCTCTAGCCATTCGTTTGTTGATGGCACTTAGGTTGTTTCCAACTCCTTGCTATTGTGAACAAAGCTGCAATAAACATGGGATGACTACACTTTTTACCTGGAGTTAATAATCTCTTTTCCATTTGCTTAATTTTCTATTAACGTTTGAGGCTTCTACTTTCTTTAAGAACTTGATCAACTTGTTTGATTCTTTGATAAAGGCGTTATCTATCAAGCTGCACCAGCAACATTTAGGAAACTAGAGCTTACAGTAAGGAGACTTCATTTACTACATGCTGAAAGCTTGCTCATAAAAGGGGAAAAGAAAAGATACTCCTTATCATACTAATAATTCTTTCCATCTCTAGAATTTCTATTTCAGTACCTAACACAGGGCCTCAAATAAAATAGTAGACAATTAGCATTCCTTGTAACAGAACCTGATCCATTTTAACTGGAAGATGATCATCACAGAAAAAATTAGGCCTGCCTTAATCACTTGGTCTGTAGAGGCCCCAAAACCCAAAGACACACAAAAGTTTGGTTTGGGGTCATGTATGAAATAGCACTGGCAACAGGATCACAATGTCCATATTGTTGTATCTGCTGGTATTATGGGAGAGTGTGTGTGTATTTACATAGGTACACACACATCAATTTACACACTGTGCTTTTACAGATTCATCCCTAGTGGTACACCGTTTCATAATCAACATATAACGTGATGGCATATGCAGTACAGAGATGCATCTTTTAAAAACTTTTATGATCATTTGATAATGTGACATCTTATAGACATTATCTGTCTATATCAGATAACAGAAAAACAAAACCAAAACAGATTCTTCAAGTATGAAGAGCAATGCTTTATATTTCAGATCAATTCCCAGCATTTGGACTGCATGGTACACTTAAATACGTCACTACTTTTATGGTAGATGAATATTCACTTAAGTCACTAAAGCTCAAATCTGGTCCTAAAATTTGTAATCCATAGCTCTTTAAATTTTAGAATTGACAATTATAACTGCCTTGCTTTAAAACTGAGAAAACTGAAGCAAGTCCCTTCAACAAAGGAGCAAATGTGACTTCAGAATTTGCACTTTGTATTACTAAGGTCATAAAAGGTATTATACTTCCTGAGGCAACGTAGTGAAGGCACAAAGACATTACACATCTTAAGATTTGTATCACCCTATCATTACCTAGTATGACAACTAACGGTCAAAAGTATGATTTATAAGAGTCATCAAAGCTAATTTACATTTTATGAACTCTGTTTAAGCAAAGCTAAGAAGTTTATGTTTTACAATGAGTTTTATTCAAAACGATCATTAACAGAGAAAAAAAAAAGAAAGCAAATCCTCGGTGCTCCACAAAGTTACATTATGACAAAATGCTCAAATATGCAATAAAGTTCGTAGAGGCTATGGTTTTACTCTATCATTTTATATTCCAGCCTGTTGTTAGCTGCTGTCAAGTCTTTTCTGACAAATGGTGATCCCTGGGTACATCCTATCTAAGATAGGATTTAAAAATCAGTATTCAATCTACAGAAACTATGCAGACTTTAAGACTTTCCAAAATCTTCTAGCTCAAAGAGAGAAACATCCTAATAACTTACCCGACACTGTGGCTTTCCCAGGGATGGGGGTTGGTGTGGACACGAGGGACGTGGCACTGACAACACTGGGCACAGCAGCTTTGCAGGTTCCCACTGCTGCCTGGCTCACACACACTGGTTGCTGCCCAGAGGTCTTCATGACGGAACCTACAGCAGATGGTGAAGTGAGGGTGGTACCTTCAGACTGCTCATCCACAGGTCCAGAAAAAGAAGAAATTCAAAGAAAGCAATGTAAATGGCTTAGAACAGTAACCATCATTTTATCTATTAGTTACTAATAGGTACTAAATAGCATGCCATTTTGAAAGATCTGTTCTCAAATTCAGAGGTTCTCACTTTCCTAGGTTTCATGGACCAGGACATATTGTATAGTTAAAGGCATACTGTAGTTACCACATATAAAAAAAAAATTACCATCTATTATCACTTTATACAAGGGTATTTCAACATCCACATCAACAAGAAAAAGGTCCAATCACAAAATGGGCCTAGGATATGAATAGAACATCAAAGATGACATTCAGATGGTAAATGATCACATTAAGAAATGTTCAAAATCCCTAGCTATCAAAAACAACTATGAGACACCATCTTACCCTAGAAACAATAGCAAAGTTCAGTAGGACAGCAAACAACAAATGCTGGTGAGGTTGAAGAGAGACTCGAAGGAAGTCTTATTCATTGCTGGTGGGAATGTAAAATGGTACAACCACTATGGAAGGCAATCTGGTGCTTTCTCAAAAAGTTGCAAATGGAAATATCATTTGACCTAGAATTTCCACTACTGCGAATATACTCTAAAGAAATCAGAACCAGAACTCAAACTGATGTATGCACACCCATGTTTACCACTGCATTATTCATAACAGCAAAGAGATGGAAGCAACCTAAGTGCCTATCAATAAACTAAGAGATAGAAAAACTATGGTACATCCACAAAATGTAATACTATACAACAGTGAAAAATAATGAAATAGTAAAACGTCACACAACACGGTAAATATCTCGGTCACAAAAGGACAAGTACTGCATAACACCACTATTATAAAATAGGACAGATGTGGGGGTGCTGAGGAGGGAATGGGGAAAGAGTAGACAGATCATGAGCACTGCATTAGAACAGAGGAGGGGAAGAACTGTCTGAAAGGAATATATGATTCTGCATGATAGGAATGAGAATAACACAAGTGGTACATTGTGGGGTGGGCTGGAGGAGGGGGATGTAAATAAGGAAAGAAAATGTGCAACAATGAATGAAAAAGAAAAAAACCACAACAAACCAAAAAAGGTGTAATATCAGAATGTAAAAATACAATAAAATGACTATTTGTTTTAAAAACTCAGAATGTTTTATAAAAGTTTGTCAAACTCTACTATATGGCAAGTAGAGTGTTAAAACACTAGGGCTTAGGGATAAAAAGTATTGGTCAGTGAGAAGTATGTTAATACTTTAGCTCGCAAGACTAAGATAACTTTTCGAAAACAGAAAAAGTTATTAATTTCCCCTAGGGCTATAAAAAAGAGAAGGAAACAAATCCTTTAGGTAAAAATATACAAACAGAAGTATTATTGAGATTCAAATGAGAGGAAAGGGAAAATGAAAGGGTATTCTTTGAAAAGAGTAAAAGGTAAAAAGACAAAAAAGCATTAAAGAAAAGAGAATTGCAGAGTATTGTTGTTATTGTTGACTGCAGTTGAGTCCAGCATGATTCATGGGAATTCTATGAACAAAAGACCTAATGCCTTTCCATAACTATCATCGTTTCTCCAAGTCCATAGTTTCCGGAGGCATATGCTTCCAAACTTGTTTTACAACTGGGAGCTCCACCAAACACTGTCCACATTGGGAAACCATTATGGCATTTGATACTCCAATGGCATAAGGTTCAGCATCACAGCAAACCCAGATTACTTCATACAGCACATCGATCAAGAGTGATATACAAAGTGGAAGAATCTTCCTCCAGATATAACAACACTAGTCTCACTCAGCAGTGGTTAAGTGTCGTTAAGTTAAATATGGCTTATAGTGACTCCTGCACAAAAGACCTGAATTCTAGTCTCTAATTAACATCTTTTCTGTGTGTTTATAGTTTCCAGAGGCATCTAGTTTAGGAAGTGCATGCCATTCCTGCTTCCCAACCTGAATCAATCTGGAAGCTCCTCCAAACAGTATACATGATGGGTAACCATTATGGTATCTGACACGACTATGGCACAGTGTTCAGCATCACAGAAACTCCAAGTTATAGCAAACAGACAAACAATTGCCCTATCACTTAAAGAATAACTAAAACTAATAAATTTTATGTGACCACCATCAAGATGCTAGAAGCCAACTCCTAGAGTGGAGGCTCCAGACTGGCCCTGGATACTTTAGTTGGCAGAGTATTAGATATGTAATTATAAGTAGATAGAGGAGATATATTTGAGAAGCAAGCAAAGTTCAAAGCACAAAAGCCTTTAAAGTGTCATAATGTTTTTCAACAAATGGTGCTGGGGCCAGCTAAGTATCTGCACGTACACAGTGACAAAAAGTCCCAGCCTCACACCACACACAAATTTAATTTAAAATGGCTCAAAAGATCTAAATAGATGAGCTAAAACAATTAACACTCCTAGAAAAAACCCAGAGATTTAAACTTACGTGATCTGAGATCAGACAGTGGTTTTTTTAAAATATAACATTAAAAGGATAAAAGATAAAGAAATTTGCTATCATCAAAATTAAAAACTGTGGTCCAAAGAAAACCATCAAGGAAGTAAAATGAAAGCTCAAAGAATAAACTTTTTCACAAATCAGGCATCTATCTGATAAGCAGCCAAATTATATGAACTCTTATAACTTAATAAAAAGACAACCCAAATAAAATAATGGGCAACATATGAACAGAAATTTCTTCAAAGAATACAAATAGCTAATCAGTATATGAAATGACTTTTCATTTAACATTATTAGTCATTAGAGAAGTGCAAATTAAAACCATGAGATGCCACTACATTCACATCCACTATAATGACTGTAATTAAAAACACAACAGACCAGAAGTATTGGTGAGGGTACACAGAAATTGGGTACTGTGCACTGCACAGCTGTTCCAGAAAACAGGTAGGCAGTTTCTCAAAAATTGTAACACAGCAATTCTACTTCCAGGTGTAAATCCAAGAAAACTAAAAACACATCCACACAAAAATCTGATCACAAATCCTCATGGCAGCATTATTTATAGCAGATACAATGTGGCAACAATGTAAATGTACACTACATGATGACAAGATAAACAATGTGGAGCATTCATTTAACAAATATAAAAAGAAATGAAGTTCTGATACATGCTACAACTAGACAGATCTGGAAAATATTGTATTACATGAGAGAAACACACAGAAGTTCACACATCACATTTACATGAACTGTGCAGAACAGGCATATTAATACAGAAAAAAGGAAGATTAAAAGTTACTCAGGGCTGGAGAAGGATGGACTAGAAAGTGACTACTAATGAGCGCAGGCTTTCTTTTTGGGATGATGAAAATGCTTCTGAATTAGACAGTAATGATGATTGCACAATTTTATAATAAAGTAAAAACCAGAGAACAGTATACTTCACACTGGCTTATAGTCCATTATCTAAATAGCTCAAGTGGCAGAGTTCCTAACTCTAAAGGTTGTGCTAAAGGTTGTACATCCCTTGCAGTTCAAATCCTGTGGCTGCTCTGAGGGAGAAAAGACTGGCAGCCAACTCCTATTATGATTTACAGCTTCAGAAACCCAGTGGAGGGGATTGTGAGTTAGCACTGATTCAAAGGCATTAATCATGACCTCTAAGATATAAGCAACAAGACCCACTAATGTGCCTCATTTATGACTCTCTGGACCCCTAATCTATGTATACATCTCTTTTATGTTCACTATGATTTTCTGTTATCAATTCTTACCTGCTGTGTAGGGCCATTGGAGGAGAGAGCCACAGCTGTGGACGTGGCGGTAGTGATGACGCCTCCTGCCACCCTCAGCATTGTGGTCCCAGGCTTTGAGAGTTGGGAGGTGGCTGGCACAGACTTCAAGGAATTATCAGACATCTTCACTATTGACGCTTGTCCCCCAGAGGCTGCCTATGGAAACAAAACAAACTGAGACAATACTGTTCCTCTAGTTAGCAGGTAAAATGTCTTCTTTCTCTACATTTTAGACACGCTTCAAGAATTAGAACATATCTAAGCAAGTCTTAAACAGATGTATAAGAATGTATGCATTTTGCCAACAAACTGTGAACTAACTGCAACTATTTCTTTACATTTAGTGCAAAACATGAGAAGATCCTCAGTAAGATGGACAGTGAAAATGGGCTTAAAAAGGATGAAGTTTGTGGGGATGGCACAAGACAGGGCAGAATACAGATCTGTTGTTCATAAGGTCTCTATGAGTCATGGTCAACAGCACTTAACAGTGAAAAACAAGCAAATGAACACATATATAAGTCACTAATCATTAATAGTCTTAAAAAAACAGGCTAGCTGTTTTAAAAACCAGTGAAGTTCAAAGATCTCTTAAATGTACATACATATGCCTTAATGCATGGAAACTAAACCCCAAATATTTCAGTAGGTGTTATTAATGGTAAATTAATGGGGTTCTAGGCTAGGTATGAAGCAGAAGGATGGTTTTCTTATCCCTAAAGATGGCAATCTTGACAATGCTATGTATGAACCTTTCTACAGGGTGACTATGCGTAACTGGCTCCACAGTCCCTGGCTGCATGCTGGCTCAGCACATAAGTCTTGCAGAACCATGAAGCAGACAGCTCCAGTGGTCACAGCCTTGGTTCAGCACACTTCTATAAATGGTCACACAGTAAGCATTTTTAGCTATACTCTAACTGTTCAACTCTGTTTTAGCATCAAATAGATGTTGCTGTGCTCAAAGAAAACATTCTTTATAAAAATAACCAAACCAGGTGGAGTTCGCAAACTTCCTGTCAGTTAACAAAAATTAATGTACTCCCTAAGTGGGGACTATTTCCCAGTTTTTGAAAGTTTACTATGTACCAGAAATGGCAGGAAGTGCTTTCATGTATCTTATGTCATTCCCTAAGTATATATTATTGGCCCACTTCACATATGAGAAACTCCATGTCATTCTACCATGCAAAACCATTTAGATAAAATGTCTGTAAGCAGTTTTACTCAAAATAGTAAAAAAATGGAAACAGTCAAAATGCCCATCAACAGAACCAAGCAACACAACAAAACATTATGAAGGAATAAAAATAAATGACAGCTACATCTGTAAAAAACATTGGATGACAAACTAGCATTAAGGGTTGTTAGTGTGAGTATATGAGGATCCATGAGGGGGACGGTAGGAGCAGAGGGGTGAATACAGGCAAGGGGGAAATTACAGGGTCATATAATTTAATGGAGAGGGTGGAGTAGTTAAAGGAAATGGGGAAGATCCAGCGGGGACTTGGAAATGCAGGACAATGGTCAGCATAGTTCAGTGTTGATTAATTTGATAAAATACAATGAATGAGAATGATTGTATGAAACAATGTGAACAAAGGTTAGTGTGAAACACAATGTATACAAACTTTGTGGTTTTTATTTTTATTTTATGTATACAAACTTTGTAAGCGAACCAATATAAAAAATAAAGTTACTGTGTGCTTTCCCATGCATTTTCAGAGGCTGTAAATAGCATTGGAGGAGGCTGCTCTTCTCCTGAGCAGTAACTGGTGGGTTTGAACTGCAGGCCTTTTGGAATCATCATGCAGTTTCCTGGGCCACCACTGCTTCCAGCCATAAAAGAATATACAATATATGATTCCATCAATAAGCAGAACAAGAACAGATTAAAAAAATCTATAATCTATGATGATATAAATAGAAAAATGACAAAAGAAAAGGCAAAGGAAATCAGAATGTGTTTAGTGGTGGAGTGTATGTTGAAATTCACCTACTAGCACACTCGGAATTTGTGCATTATTTTTTGTAAATCATTCCCTGGCTGTGTGGCTGGAAAGGAAAAGCATCTGAAGAACTCTACATTTTCTTGAGTAAGGCTTTGGGTGGCTTCCTTAGGTATTAGTGTCAAATACTGTCATTTGTACTAAAACCCATTTCAGATTTTTTTTTTAAATCAACCCCCTACCTAAGACCTTGGAGGCTGTCTTTATTAAAAGATTATTATTATTATTATTATTAGGTTATTATTTCAGGTGTGGGACATCAAATGCCATTTTTTAAATACGCTAACATTTTCTTTATGGCTAAGAAAACAGTCTGTTAATGTTCCAAGAAGAATGAAACATGTTCTCTGTCTCCGAAAAATAAAGCTGTGCTTGCTTCATCAGCATATATACTACAACTGAAACGATAAAGAGACTAACATGGCCCCTGCACAAGGATCGACACACAAATTCATGAAGCATTCCATAGTTTAAAAAAAAACCAAAACACAAAGCTTGTCGACAGTGCTTTCTAGAGCAAACCCTTTACAGCAGGATTTGTCTACTTAACCACCGAAATTCTGATACATTAAAATTGTCATAGATAAATACCATGATGGTTTTGTAATATTATCTTCATATTCCTAACAGAGAGCTCTGGTGGCCTAGTGGGTAAAAGCTGTTACTACCAACTCGAAGACAGGGAGTCTGAGTCCACCAGCTGCTCCAAGGGTGAAAGACTCCACGATTTACACAGGAAGCTTCTGCAAACCCATGTGAGGGTTGGCCGTGAGGCAGTTCTGACTCAAAACAATGAGCAGGAACTCATGGCAAGAAGTTGAGCTTATTCTGAGTAGTCTTTGAACATTAGGCATTCTGTTGCCACATGGTTCAGTGCAGAAAGATTTATGACATTTTGATCTTTGTCATAAGTTATCAGTTTAATTAAAAAAACTAATCTATTCTACATCAAGCGTGGATGTGGATGCAAACTTTGAAGAAATGACAGGGAAGATACCACTGAGAATGTAGGTATGTTGTCAATGTTCAAAACGTAACTGCAAAAGTCATAGCAGATAAAAAAAAATTAAAAGACTGCTGAAGCTCCATCAAGGATAGAAGAAGACTGCCACAGAAAAGAAATGTGTGCTACATTCATGGATGGTTGGAGCCAAGGGCTGGAAATAACTGTATAGCAACAATGGGTGATTAGCTGACTCACATTCTAGCAGTAACCCGTCATATTTAGCTTCCTATGCTCCCATATCCCAGCACCATCAAATTCCATTCTCCAACGTGGGGAACTCTGGTGGCCTAGTCTACTGGCTGGGTTGCACCACTTTGGTGGTTTGAACACACCAGCAGCTCCATGGACTAAAGATGGGAAGCCTCCTATCCTGGAAATCCACTGGAGGGTCAGCTATCAGTCAGTTCCAACTCAATGGCAATGAGTTGGTTTTGGGTGTATTTTCTGAAAGGACAGTACGTTGTTTCGCATTATCTGAAAAAAATTAACCCACACAGATGTGTAGTTAGAAAATGGGAGGTTAAAATCATACACTGGTGTCTGTTTAGGTAATATCTTTTTAGCAATGTCTGTCAGCACATCCATCAAAGGTCCCAAACCACATGGAGCCTGTTATCTTAAAAATGTGACAATAGTTCTCAACAGAGCCACTACTTTGCAACATAAAGTATTGTTATCATGGCAAGCTCTGGTGGCCTAGTGGCAAGAAGCTGCACTGCAATCCCAGAGGTGCGTAGTTCAAATTCACCAGATGCTTTGCTGGAGAAGAAGGAACAATCTCCTCCTCTACCAGTCAGATCTGGTTTGACGGTACATATACACAAAAATAATAAAATATTTTCATTAAAATTAATAAAATATATTAAAAAATTTTAAAAATTGGTAAAAAAATATCGTTATCAACATACTATGTTACAGATGTCTTAGTCATGTCAAAGTGCTTCTTTAATGTTATTTGTGCAAAGAATGGTACACTATAGTCTGGGTAAGACAAATATCTGACTGATGTTAGATACAAATCCAACACAAAAACAGCTTGATTATCCAAGAACTCTTGCATAATGTGTTCACAAGATTATCACATAATGTTCTCCTTCACATAATTACTGTGCCCTCTGAACCATGCACAACCACATTTTAATGCTTTTTTCAAATAGTGTTGTTGTTTTTCTTTGACACTACACCAAAATGCATTAAGTTTCTTTAAGATTCAATGCATTATGCAATCTAAAATGCTATCTCATTCTCTGATGTTAAAATCCACTGAGGACTTTTGTTTCTACACAGGACAGAGAAAGCACCCTCACGCTGCTCCCATCACAAGAAAATGTGGAACAGACTACAAAATTATGGTTTTTTTTGAACACACTAGAGAGCTGAAATCTAAAGGTAACCAAGCAAGCTGACCTCATAGAGGGCAGGACTGTCTCACCTGTGGCAGAACAGGGGCAGTCACTGACTGGCTGTAACTCGAGCAGATAAAGAGGAGTCAGCTGAGAACTCTCAAAACCTTCTAATGTGGGGAGCTCTGGTGGCCTAGTGGTAAGGAGCTGCAACTACAATCCCAGAGGCGTACTGTTCGAATCCACCAGATGCTCTGCCGGGGAAGGAGGGACAATCTCCTCCTGTACCAGTCAGATCTGATTTGACGGTACACGCACACAAAAATAATAAAATAAATTAAAAAAATTAAAAAAAAAAAATCTTCTAATGTGAAGTCTGAGGACATCTGATAAGGGAAATTCATTCTCAAGGAAATAAAATGTTGGTAATTTGAAAATATAAATAAAACTAACTAGAGTGAGCTAAAGGGGGAAAGGGAGGCAAAAACCAACCCCAAATTTATAATTATCAAAATCAAGAATTAAAAAGGCGAAATCACTGAAAATTCTTTCGATACCAAAAAGGTAATAAGGAAGTATTATGACTGATGACTAAAGTGGACCAGACTAAGCCATGGTCTTTCCAATCACCTCACATATATGTGCAAACTGGACAATGGAAAGGGAAAACAGAACAATGCATTTTAGATGTGGTACTAGCAAAGAATAACAAATACACTACAGACTGCCAGGCAAACCAACAAATGAACCTTAGCAGAAACAAAACCAGAATGTGCCTTAGAAGCAAGGATGGCAAGGCAATGGATACAAGTTCAGATAAGATCAATTGCCACAAACGGGCATCACAGCTGTTAAAATAGAGGGTCAGGGAAGGCAGAGGAAATCCTCAGTGAGAGGGACTGACACAGGAATAAGCAACATTCCAGTATTAAATGCAATGCCAGCAGGAGTCAGAGTTAACTTGATGGCAATTAATAGCATAAATAATTTTAAATCATTAAATCTGATTACTTAAGATGGCAGGGGCAAATTCCTTTAGTTTTAAGAATAGGAAAACACAACATCAAATTTTTTTTTTAACTTCAGTAATATTACAACATCAAATTTTGTGAGGATACTGCTAAAGCAGAGTACTTGATGATCAGTGAAGCCCTATCAATTCAATGACCTAAGCTTGCACCTTAAGAAATCAGGGGTTCAGAGTGGTTATTTCTGGTTCTTTGTGGCCAAATGAGTGCAAAGCCCTGTGAGATGCAAGAAAAAGATAAAGGACATCAAAGGGAGCAAAGAGCAATGAAACCAATTAATTTGGACACAGAGAAAACAAAAAACCAGTTCTTTGAAAAGATCTCTCCATTTAATGGTGGTCTTTGAATGCTTTCTTTATTCACCCGCAGTTGGTAACACCATGCACTGATCACTGGAAAAATGATGCTTCACTGAATGATGTGGTTCACTTAAATGTTGGTATAATTCACTGTAAAATACATTTTCAAAATTACATTTGTTAGAATCACCACCAAGCTCATAAGGAAAGGCCTTTAAATATTAGGACACTTCACAAACAAAAACAAATTTGTTGATCAGAAAACCAATTTGTTCTATAAATTTTCACCTAAACCACAATAAAAAGTACAAAATTAAAATGAAATTTAAATATCTACATTTACTAGTGGTAACTGGTTAAAAAATATTAGAAAATAATCAAGTTTCTGTTGGTAGTTAAAAATTTTCTTTTTAAATTCTAATTTTCATTTGAAAGCCCAAATGATGGTAATACATACTACTGGTTTCCTTTGAAATGACACATTCAATTTCTTTTATGAAGAAATATTTGTTATTTAAATCTAATTAAGCATACTGTGTTAGCCATTCTATCAAGTAAAAATGTAAAAAAAAAAAGTGGCTCAGACAGCTTACAAAAGAACTGCTCTCATGCAACCATCATAGGCAGGGGTACAGTACGGGCTTTGTATTTGTACTTCTCATGGTCACAGAATTTTAAAAAAGATACATACTAAAATTTTTTTTTTTAAAAAAATAGTAATTCTTCATTTCAAGAACATCTCTAAGCAACATTATTTTGGGAAATGAGGACAGAGGAGTGTTGCAAGCATGTGAAGATAAAGGATAAACTGTGTACTAGTCAAGTTTAGGGAGCTCTGATGGATTAGATGTTAGGGAGTTATACTGCCAACCCCAAAGCAGGCAATCTCTTCCCACATGATTTACAGCCTCTGAAATCTGCTGGAGGGTCAACTATAACTTGTTTTCTGAGCATGTAATGCTACTGAGTTCTGAGTAACATCTGGTCCCACTGTCATGGTGTATGCAAAGGCATATGTCACAAGCATGGTGTATGCAAAGGTTTATGTCACAGCCACGGTGTAGGCAGTTTTGCCTATGGTTGCTTTTGTGTCATCAGTGTAAATGTCCACACTGTGAAAAATGCACTACTAATTAGTCACACAAACATACATGGTTTGTTATTTGTGGGGGCTTTTTTAAGTAAATGGTATCATATGGCATATCACCTTCTATACTTATTCCTCACTTGCTAAGTTTTTGAAATTCAATTATAAATATTCCTGTAAATGATTGTATTAACCTCTGCCGCTAGTTAAAACTCCCTCTGATCTATATTAAAGAATGTTAGAGAAACATGCACCCAACTCCCTACAGTAAGCATTTACTTACTGTACCAATACTGGAGGGAAAAAAAAATTACATTCACCTATTAAATTACTCAGGGTCTTCAATATGAAGTTCTTCCAGACAAAGCTTAAAATGAAGTGGGTAAGGAGTTGCAGTGGCAACCCAAAGGCACGCAGTTCAAATCCACCAGCTGCTCTTAGAAAGAAGGATGGGCAGTCTCCTTTTATGCAATTTACGGTCTCTGAAACCCACTGGTCAGCAGTGAATTAGTTCCAACTCCACAGCACATAATCATATCATCAAGTAAATCCTTGTTTTCTCCAAGGAAATGCATGTTTTTTAATCTGAGTGGGAATGTTATGACTGATCATGTTTCTCATCTTCCCCAATGAAAACACTTTAGATGTACATTATCTTACTATTTTCATGTTCAAATAACCTTCTGTCTAATCATGTTTTCCAAACCACGAGATTTTATTCTTAATCTTCTATCCTGTTTTATTGTTCATTTTCATGTCACTTCACTGTCTTTGTAGAAAGCTAAAGCTATAAGTATGTAAAGAAATATATGCCACATTCCACACGTGCTAGGTATGTGTATTTACCTGTGTAAACAATGTGGTTTTTTGTCCAGAGATAACTTTTAAAGTTTGCTGTCCTGGTGCAGAAGATGTACTGACTCCTAGTGTTCCTTGAACCACTGATCCAGTTGCCAGCTGTTTTCCAGATGTCTGAGGTGTCGGCTGACCAACTAAAAATGTGCCCTAAGTTAGAAGAAAAAAAAGAGGAAAAAAAAGAACTTATCAACGATTTGTTCAATTCATTTGGTTTTCTCCCCAAATCTCTGTAAATGTTCCTTAAAATTAATAAAATTTAATTTTAAAAAATTCATATGGTTTTCTCTCATTATCCAACATACAATAAGGTGGAAAGAAGATCAATACAAAATGATCAAGGCAAAGGACAACAGACACTCAGAAGAGCACAAAAGTTTAAGATAATAAGTGGCAAGAAGCTGTACTGCAATCTCGGAGGTGTGTGGTTCAAATCCACCAGATGCTCTGCTGGAGAAGGAGGGACAAGCTCCTCCTGTACCAGTCAGATTCCATTTGACAGTACACACAAATAGAATAATAAAAAAAAAAAAGTTTAAGACAATAGAAATAACTACTGCTACACATAACAAGCATGCAATAAAAGTAATAATAAGTTATGAGTGGTCACACAGACAGACATACAAGCTATACAGGCCTGGGAAAGCAAATGCAACTACACTGATGAATGTACACAGGTTTGATAAAAGTTATTTCCACACGTGTATTTATATATGTTCAAAGTATATACCAGAGCGTACACAGGAAAAAGTTAAGAAAACTTTTTAGTAATAACTAAATATGTCTTGAGGGATCAGCTGTTGGGTTTGGAGGCTTAAGGACAGAGTGTCCAGGGACATTAAAGTGAACTAGCACTGTAAGAGTCACTAAGAAAATGTTCTACATCCCACTTTAGGGAGGACCAACTGGAGTTTTCAAAACTTGTGAGCAGCAATCTAAGGTGCAACCATCTTTACTCCTCATCTGGAGTAAAAAAGGAGGAAGAAAATCAAAGCTGTGTGAAAATAATCAGCCCAAAAGACTAATTTTTTTTTTATTTTTATTTTATTATTTTTGTGTGCGTGTACCGTCAAATCAGATCTGACTGGTACAGGAGGAGATTGCCCCTCCTTCCCCGGCAGAGCATCTGGTGGATTCGAACCGTGCACCTCTGGGATTGTAGTTGCAGCTTCTTGCCACTAGGCCACCAGAGCTCCCCTCCAAAAGACTAATTAACCACCAAAACCTTGGCCTCTGTTACTGTGACTCAAGAAGGACTAGGTGGGAGATCTAAGATGGTGGTGGAGGTAGAGACAGCGTGGTGAGCTGCGGGAGCAGCAAACCACTTAAAGCAGGGCCATTATGGCCTACCACAGACTTCAGCTTATTGATAATTGAACACTTAAACAGTTGATGACTGGCCCTCAGTGAAGATCGAGGCTCAACAACAGGAATTCAAGGAATCCCAAGGAGGAATGGGTGAGTCTCTTGGTTCCCAACACCCTCCCGCAGAGCCCGCGGTGCGCAGCACGGCCGCTGCAGCTCCATGAGGCTTCCACAGCTGGAACTAATGGATTCCCTCACCCAGGATGGATGCTGGGCACTGGTCCTCCTCAAGACTGGTACAGTGAAGCCACCACACTGCCGCAAGGTGGTCTTGTACTGGACAGAATTCTTGGAGCCAGGATGGTGGCAGTGGGGGAAGCGGGTGCCTGCTGGGCGCCTGCACAAGAGGGGCCGTGTGGCCGACAAGTGCCTGAGCGACGGGGTGGGGGGTCGCGCCCCAAACGGCTGCCCGTGCTTGGGGGGGTGGCGCACGCCCAGCTGGCCACCTGCGTAGGAGGTGGGGGATGGGATGCATGTCCGCCATCTGCAGGTTTGGGTTTCCTTGGACAGGCCAAAGACGATGATTACCCATACAATCAATTGCTGAAAGTCACTGTGAGTCTGATGACCTTAACAGTGGCAGCATGCACAAGAGGACCTTCATCCTAAATGCACCACATATTTTGTTCTGTTGAATGCTTCTGCCAAAAGATGGTTAGACCTGGGGGGAGTCTGTTCACAATTTTCAGGTTCCCTTTATCATATATAAAGGGGAAGGCAGTGGCACCTACTTCAAAGTATAGTATGACCACTTATGGGAGGGAGTAAAAGTGGCAGTGCTGGAATTGGAGACACTATCCCTGACCACAGAGTCCTCAGTCAGGTGAGGGGACCAGACTGGGGTAGGGGCAATTGGAGGGGGAGTATACCAGCCAGCTCCTGGGGGGTGTTGCCCTGCTTGGGATGGGCTGCCTTCGGCCCCCGGCTTGGGGCAAGCCATCGCGGCCCTCTGCCTGGGGCAGGCTGCCCTCAGCCCCCAGCTCGGGGCGAGCTGTCGCGGCTCTCTATCCGGGGTGGGCTGCCCTCGGCCCCTGGCTCGGGGCGAGCTGTCGCGGCCCTCAGGGTGAGCTCCTCAGTCCCCAGATTGTGCCATTTGACCCCTGGGTGAGGAAGGTGAAAAAAAAATGCCTAGGGTATCCAGAGAATGTTACCTAGGCCACCTTCTGCCAGCCTCCCCTCATTAAACCTGAAAGCAACACCCTCAAATCCCTTCTATTTGTAACTCACAAGTTTGTTCTCTCTAGGTTTGCTCCCTTTCCTATAGGTAACCTTAACACTGAGTTTTACTCCAGAATTGACCCTGAACCCAGTGCCAGTGACAAGAAGGAAATACAACTGACAGCTAAGGAAGCAAAGGAGGATGGAGCCTCTGGGTTCAACCAGCCATCCCCACTGGACCCACCTGGGAAAACACTTTGCAGTCCAGAGGGGAGCAAATGACAGGAAAATATCTTCTAACAGAGCAAGAAGGCAAGCAGCTTTAACCCAAGACCACCAGTAAGGTGATAAAGCGTCCTCCCTTCCCCCTTTACATCTACGCCCCTGTTCAGCATGAAGAAGCCAGAGAGTTGGCATCCAATTCCCAAATCAATAAGGCAACTGGTTTAATTACCATTGGAAAATGCTTGTCATTCCTCTGTAGCATCTGGTCCCCACTAGACCCTCATCATTTCCTTCACCTGCTCCCCCCGTCGACCAAACTGCGCAGCTCTGCAACTGCATCCTGGCCCATCCTCATCCTTCTGCCCTCAACCCTCACCTCCTTGTACCCCCAATATGTTTTTCCCAATAAAAGGAAAAAAAAAATTTTTTTTTTTTTTTAAAAAAAGAAGGACTAGGTGGTATCCAGCTCCGAATGCTGAAAGCTTTGACAGGGTTCACTTCACAGAATGGGAGAAAAATGTGGAACAAAACTAAAAAATCATAAAAAAGACCAGGCTTATTAGTAGACAGAGACAAGTGGAACCTTTGAAACGATGGCTGTTAGCCACACTTCAAGCCTAAAACAGAATGATTTTATAAAGTGACCAGTAAGGTACTTCTTAGATTCAACCACTGGAGATCAAAAAGGCAGTATCTACGTAAGGCCAAAGGTCAGAAGACAGGAAGGCATGGAAATGAGGGGAGAATGCAAACAGGAAACACAGGAGGGAGGTGGATGAGTGAGTGAGCGTGGTGAGGACTGCAAAAAATGGCAGGAAACTATGATCAGCTGAATGGGAGACAGATCAGTTCTACAGACTTTCACCAAATACAAGAAAAAGGAATAAAGCATACGATCCTGTGTTACATGCTGTAATTATCTCCAATTCTGCAACTTGGTCAAAATGTAAGTGAAAGAACCACTTGTTTAAGTGTCATTATCAATAGTTAATCCCTTCCTCAGTGTTTACACAGTAGTTACACACAGGCTGAGGGAAACAATAACCTCACTTTACACACTATAACTTGGTATTATCAACTTTGGCAACTCACTTCTAGGAAAGGACCATGTTTTAAACTGCACACTGTTTGTTACTTCATGACTTGGAAAGCAGTTAACACAGTGGAATGCATTTCCGAGTCATAAAAAATCTGAGTTTGAATCCAAATTCTACCTCTATGTCAACAAGGATATCATAGATGTTATTAATAAGTAATAATAATAGTAATAATAAGTAATCATAATAACCTCTTTTGACACGATGATGCCACAATGGGCTCTAATGTGTCAGGAAGTGTGAGGAGGGCACAGGACAACTCTGGGTTCAGATTTGTTGTTCTTAATGTCGCTATGGGTAATACTCGACTCAACAGCACCTAGCAAGTCTCTTTTGGATTAAATCTCTCTTCTGTAAAATGAAGAGAGGCCCAAGTTTAAAGAGATAACCAAGTGCCCAGAGTGAGCATTCAGAAACTGTAAGCTGTTACTATTTTTCATTCAGCCCTCCTCCTGAGGGTTCTGCGTCTGAGGATTCAACTGACTTGATGAAGAGAAAAGGGGAGGAAAGTGCCTGTGCTCCAAAGGCACCTCCCAGAGGGAAGGGCTAAGTGGCTATTTGTGAAACATTACCACTGAATCAGGTTTTCTACATAATTTAGAAACATGAAGTATATGAGCGGCTGTGCACAGATTATATTCAAATCACACTCAAATATTTGGTCATTTTATATAAGGTGTAGTATTTGAATGGAATTCCTATTATATATTATACTCATGGATTTTTTGGTACCCTCAGGGGTACTGAGGGACAACTGTACTGGAAATTTCCCAATTTAATCATCAACTTTCCAAAGAAAACAAGTCCAAAATAACATTTATAATGTGGCGAAAATGTTAGTCTTAAAAACACACACACACACACACACACACACCAATAAAGTGAAATTCCAAATTAAAAAAAAAAAAAAAGTTAGTCTTAACCTCAGATCCTAAAGCTATAATGGTAACACCAGCAGCCTTATAATTAAAGGTGGTGTTAAAGAACAGGATGATGTAGGCGAGACCCCTCACAAATGACCAGACCTGTGGAGTTTGCTTGAGAATGTAGGATGTGTATGTCAGGTGTTGGGCTACCCCTCCGGGGCCTGCACTCGGCGTCCCTCCACTTCCGCCTACTCCACCACCTCCGCCTCCTGAGCTGCCGCCTCCTCCACCAGCAGCAGCAGAAGCAGCACCAGCAGCTGAGCCCGACTGGAGGTCTAAAAAGGAAAAGAATGACAGTAACTCCACATAAAGAGTACCAACCAAAGACTTAACAGAAAATCGATGAAGCCAGAAAGGATCTCTTGTACAGCACCATCCTTTCCCTTCTCCTTTTCTATAATGTCTCTGTTCTGTGACAGGAGTGAGGAGTGTTCTGACATTTAAGGACTGACATCTATTTACAGCTGACCCTTGAACAAACATGGGTCTGACCTGCACAGGCCTCCTTATTTGCTGATTTTCTTCTCTTCTGTGATCAAATATTAACTCCTGTTGGCAAGTCTTCTCTTCTTGGAACTGTTCACCAGATGATGAGATTTTAAATGGGTACTCCCAACACTTGAGCAGGCATAGTTCAAACTGAAGGCTGTTTAAGAGCCAATCATACCTTCAACTGAATGACACCTAAGTATTTCAATTCCAACCTTATCTTTCACACGTGTTGTCTTAGTTGGGAGACACCAAGGAATAGATTTTCTAAGCCAAGTATTGATTTTCACTTGAATTTGCTGAGATAGTTGTATCAATTACAAAAAAACCCTATTGGGATTCAATGTAATGCTGTAGTTTTCTTTATTTTCAGATTTTTCTCAGCCAAGGAAAGTAAAAACTATTTCCAAACAATGACTCCAGGCTCCTAGCCTTTTTGTTTTTCAAGCCCTAAAGATTGGGCTCTCTTTACTTTTCTTCTGGTAAGCTCATATAAAATTATTTGCAGTAAAAACCCACTCATAAATATTTAGAGTTCAATTTCCTTCTCCATTTTTAATCTAGTGATTACTGGAACAGATTACTTCTCAAAAGTTTGTTTTGACCTCAAGGATTTTATAAAAATCCAAGTAATGCTCTTGATGACTTTGGAATATTTAAATCACTTTTTATGTATTAAACTCTCTGGAACACCACTGCTTAAATAAAAAGAAATACCAGGGTGAGACTGAGAATCACCTATCAGAGTCAATGAAATAGTGACTAGCTTATTCACAGCACTTGAAAAGGAGTGCTAATTTCTAACTATTGTATGAATTTGACCTCTAATCCAGAGGAGAGCAATTCTTACAACTTTTTCTGTATCACTCGAATGGTTTTTCTATAATCAATGCTTATGCACATCTAAATAAATTTCTGACTTTGCATGGGGCTTTAATAGGAAGGATTTGTACACTAAAAGCTGACCTTATATTTTTCTTTCCATCACCATTCTCAGGAAAAATAAAAGCGTTTCTAAATAATGATAAGCAGAGACAACTGACTCCATTCTTACTCCCATCTTCTAGCTCTATTCAAATGAACACAGACTTCCAGTGACTAGAAACAGAGGGACCTTCTCAAGCGTCATGGATTGAATGGTGTCCCTCCCCAATTCCCTCTGCCAAAAATGGGTGTCAACTAGGACAGGCTATGGTTCTTTGTACAATTTTCAGGGAGGGGACACACACACACACACACACACTCCATCAACAGTGTAATAGTAATTCTTCTATGTGTTGTAAATTCTAACCTCTATGATGTTGATGAGGCCAGATTAAAAGCAGTTATTTACAGAGTCATTCCCCAGAATGTGATAAGCCCATCAGCTGATTAGGATAGGACATAGCATCCTTAATTAGGTCATAGCCCTGGGCTGACGAAAGGGGAATTCCCCAGAACATGGTCTGTAACACCTTTTCTCTCAGAAAAGATAAAAAAGAGAAGAGGAAGCAAGCAGGAGTCCTCAGTATCACCAAGAAGAACCTGGAGTAGAGCAAGTCCTGAGGGCACAGGTCCAGGTCCCCAGGCCAGGCAACAACATGGGGGGCAGGGGCGCGGCTAAGTGCTGTGGAGAAGACCAAGGAACACTGGGCCTACAGATGCAGAAAGAAACAAGTGCCTTCTTTCAGAGCCCACAGAGAAAGAAAGCTTTCCCCTAGAGCTGGCAACCTGAATTTAGGTTTCTGGCCTCCTAAACTGTAAGAGATTAAAAGCCATCTGCTTGCAAGATCTACTCTAGCTGTACTCAATGTAAGTAAGAAAACAGGTGTCATGACAAGACAGTTCCAGGATACCACCCCACTGAAATGAAGAACTCTCCTGGACAGTTCATGCAGACAGCATTCTCACAACAGACTCAATGTCATCTTCACAGTGTGACTTGTCCCTGATCCCAAACTCTGAAATAGAAGGATCCAAAACAACGTGTCCCCTCCTGAAACCATGATTAAATCCTTTCTAGCTAAGTCCTATGTGTATTTTAAAATCAGCTTTGGTAGATGCTGTCATATACCAGAGACTAGAGCTATTGAAATGCTTCCTGAAACAGATTAAGAACCACCCCTCAGGCGGATGGAATGGATATACCCAGAGACCCAAGAACCAAATGACTTAATGAGGGACTAACTAGCATTGTTGGTAGCGCGGAGGATGGCTCCTTGAGGGATCAGCAGTAATTTTCCTTTTCCTGAAGGATTCTTGCTGTTTGTGGTAAGGTAGAGTTTGGTGCCAGGAGGTAAATTCGCCAAGTTAGCCAAATTTGTGGCTGGTAGCTGCAACGTTGCCATCACTAAAATGGTAAAGGAAAAAGAGAAAAAAAGCAGTAAAATAATTTGGAATAGAGTAAGTACAGTGTTGTCTCAAAAATGAAAATACAGGGTAATATTTAATTTAAAAACACAGTAAGCTCTAGGTTTACATTTTGTATTTGTACAAGGCTTTAAAGTGTTGCTATCCTTAACAACTTTGCTGATTCAAAAATAATGTATAGTCTAGTTTATTGCAGCTTTGTTCACAATAGCAAGGAGTTGGAAACAACCTAAGTGCCCATCAACAAACGAATGGCTAGAGAAGCTGTGGTATATTCGCACAATGGAATACTATGCTGCATTAAAAAACAAGGAACTCATGCAATATTATTCAAAATGGTTGACTCTGGAGAACATTATGCTGAGTGAAATATCCCAGTCACAAAAGGACAAATATTACATGATGCCACTGTTGTAGAATGGGACTGTCCTTGGGGTTGGGGAGAGACTGAGTAAGATGGGTTCAATAATGTATACTGCACTGAAACAGAGGAGGGAGAGAACCGTTTAAAAGAGAGATATAACTGGGTATTTCTGTCATCACAGGAGACTAGAGCGAGGGCTATATGGTGGAGGGGACCTGGGGGAGGGTTTGTAAAACAATGAAAGAATCTTTTCTTTTACTTTTCCATAATTTTTGGACTCATGTACTTATAACTTGTTAGTCAAATTTGTGTCTTCTAGGTTGCAACACCCCCATGATACATCTTCAAGGATATGAACATATACGGCCAAGCACAATCAATAAGAGTGCATCTAAATTCCAAAATCAATCTCCATAATAGTCTATGTGTTTCCTACTGCCAAAGGGGCCCTTTAGAGTAGTGAGAGAAGATCTTCACCCTGAAACCCACAGCGTCCCTTTTCAGCAGGAAGTAGCTAAGAGAATACGCCGTCCCCTTTTCCTTATGATTCAGGGTGAAGTCTCTCTCAGGGAGGAGTGATAGGGAATGGCAAAGGACACACTGACAAAGAAGATTAATCAGAACTGGCTTTGACAAGCACTGTGGCATTTGGACAAGATCAAACTGGGAGGAGGGTAGAGAGAATAGTGCAACAATGAATGAGTGGAAGCCCAAAATCTCTGTAAATGTTTATGAAAATTAATAAAATATAATTATAGAAAAGAAAAAAAAATAAAATTGTGCAAATACATTATATTTTATCTACAGGAAAAAAAAAAAAAAAACACAAACCCAAAAATAATGTATAGTCTAAAACAGTCTGCCTCAAGATCTATGATGCAGAGTCAGAATCAATTCAAAGCTGACCCTCCAGCGGGTTTTCAGAGGCTGTGAGGATTGTCCATCTTTCACTTGTGGAGCAGCTGGTGGATTCAAACAACTTGCCTTTGGGTTGGTAGTGCTGTTCTTTACCAGTACGCCACCAGAGCCCAAATTATATGTACTGATATTAACCATGCATCCTGATTTCCCTCAGATACTATCCGTTTACATCTGTAGCCTATTATAATTATTAAGAATTACTCTTTTTATTTGAGAAAGTAGTCTGTTTAAGAGAATCAATGAAACGATGGAGGAGTTTATGTGTGTATATATGTGTTTCATATATACATACATATATATTCCCCCATTTGTATAAAATCTCTTCAGTCCCTTTGGCCCCCTTACCTTTCTAAGGACTAAGTAACGTTACACAACAGTTACAGTTAAGGTACAATCTATTTAACACATCATACAAATAAGCTTTTACTAAGTCCCTTAGAATTTATTTTTCCATACATGTGACAGAAAAATGTCTAAACACATGAGTCAGATTTTCTACTTACTTTAAATAAAAAGCTTCAAAAAAAGCAGCTTACATCTAAGTCAGTCCCAGGAAAACATCTGTAGCCTCTGCTGGATGGGACAGTCATTCTCGTCAATAATTGGGAAACAGAACTCTGAAAGCTGTCCCCCAAAATTAGGGGCAACAGCACTAAAACAGTGTTATCTTTCTCCAATTTTCTCAGAACTGATCCCAGGGAATGTATGGATGGTGCACAATTAGGCAGGGTTTTGTTCTGTTGCACAAAAGGTCACTATGAACAAACTGGGACTAACTCAATGCTTCTTAACAAGAGTCCCACCCTATCTTATATCACTTTTTATCTCTGCCATTGCCAGAAACACAAACCTCCCTGGCCACCCACATCCATCTGGTACCATCCTTCATCTGGTACTATTCAGATCTCCTGATCTGATCCCCCTGCCTTAACTCCCTCCCAAACTCTTTCACTATGGAGTCCTGCTGTGATCATTACATTGCTCTATACCTAACCTTTCTATACAGCATCTCTGTTTAATATAATTAAAACCTGGAGTTATCTGAAGAACCTACTTCCCAGAACACTCTTAGCTAAGGGCTGGGGTTGTCCTTTAAGGGCCAGGACTGGGGTAAAGCCCTCCCCTGCCCATTCTACCCACTTCTCTCTCTAGGTAACTTTCAGGCTGTTCTTAGCCCTCACTTGTAGGAATCCACAGGCTGCCCTGGAGGTTCATACCTGGCTACACTTATCCTTTTTACTATCATTTACCCAATCATTTGCTAAACACTGACTTCCAAGTAAAAGTACATCTACTTCTCACTTTTTGACTATCTCATTAGCCAACACGTCAAACTTACAACAACAGTAAATGATCTGACTGTTCAATGCATTACAATGAGGTGGCAGGCATAGCTTCAGTGGTTATGAACACCCTCTCCCTTAAGGAGGTTCTCCAGGTAACCTCTGAGAAGCTGGGCTTTGATGTCCCATACCCTCTGGTCCCACCTGCTAGTGTCATGTCCAGCTGCTGCACAGGGTCACAAACCCTGCATTGACATGCAGCACAAAGACAATCTGGCCCTATACGCCTGTCCTAGGCATACAGAACACCTGCAGTTCAAAATTGCTGTTGGTTGCTAAGGGAAGACAGACACATCATGAGATGGTGTTTAGAAGAAATGCTTGCGAGTTTAATGACATTTTTCATTAGGCCTGAAGCCTCTGCCCTAGAGCAGCCAAGTGTGTGGCAAGGTTGCCAAGGTCCTTGCAGGAAGCCCCAAGCCTTGATGACTTGCCAAGCTGGGAGAGGAGAGCATTCTCCAGGAGTTGCAGGAGAGGAGTGGTGCCCTGGAGGAGGCTCTATCCAGGAGTCTCTGACCTAGCACAGGGAGAAGGTAAAGCAGTTTAATTAAACTCTGGAACTTTCAGGGACACATCTGGCTGTATCCAGGTTTATCTCTTCAAGGCCAAATGGATGAGCTGAGAACAAACGCAAACTACATGTTCACATAATGCTGACATTTCCAAAATCACCTGGATTTTGTAACCTAACCACGTTGACAAGTGATGAATGGGCATATTACTCTGCATGCTAAAGGCTGTCATCTTCAAACACAATATCGCATTTGGCTTTTCAGCACCAAAGATCATCTTCTCCAACTTGTTTCACTCAATCTCAATGCTACAACCTGAACTTTGCTATCACTGGCAATTGCATCAGCTCTGCATCTTTACTTTGGACACCTACCATTTTCCATCTTCCCGACTAATGGACTCATGTATCATCGCTGCAATGGCACAGTAGCTTCATTAAGACTTTAATAAATAAGTAAATACATACTATGCTAAGTTGTATTTCACCTTCCCAGTAACAACATACGGAGTAAAACATAGTGTTCAAATTCCTGTTTGGTAGAGAATGCATTAATGAGGGACTTCATAATGCTGCTAAGTCTGAAGCAGATGAGGCTAAATGAGACCTGGAAGCAATTCTTAAATACTCTATTTTTTATTAGAAGCTTCAGTAACCTAGTGGTTAAGGAGTTAGACTGTCAAGCTAAAGGCTTTGAGTTTAGTAGCAGCTTCACAGGAAAAAATGGGGCAACTTCCTCTCCTGTTGTCTACAGCCTCTGAGAACCCCTGTGGGGTTAGCTGGGAGTCAGTTCCAACTCAACAACACCGTATTTACAGATTCTTGGGTAAAATATCACCTGAAAAGGATCATGTTCTTATATATTCCTTGTAACATCACCTTATCAGGCTTCCCCAGAGTCAAATCCTAAATAAAATCACTACAGTAAAGGGCATTTTGATTGATGCTGCTGCTGAAAAGGCCCCGTAATTTGTTACCTGAACCCTGTGATCCACTCTTCTGAGGACCAGCAGTAGTGACCTGCGCCTTGGTTAAGGTTTGCACGGGCTGAGCTACAATGGTTCCTCCACCGCCACTCACAATTGCCTTGGCAACTCCTTGGGTCACAACTTGCTTTGGACCAACTGCTTTGGCAACAGAAGAGCTGGCCTTGGCAACAAGGATCTGACCACCACCGATGGCCACAGCCTGCTTCACTGCTGAAGGTAACGTAGTTCCAACTGGCACCCCAACAACCTGTTCAAACAGAAGAGAGGCCCGAAGAAAGACAGTGATTCTTCCCAGTCCCTGTGGGAGCTTTAACAAAGAACAGTTACTCTGAGCAAAGAGCACAAGAGCCTAGAATCATATAGAGTCCAGTTAATAAAGCTTTACCTATGACAGCAATAGTCTTTATATTCTGGATACTCTAACATTACAGAGATTTCTATCTTAAGCCTAGAGCCACTTCTTACCTTATTTTGATGATGATAATAATGTCTTTTAGAAACCACAGAAATATTAAGGAAAAAACTTTACTCATCCAGTAATAATCTCCCAACATTTTTTTTTCATTAACTTACATTTTATTACCTTCTGATTCTTTTCTATAGAGATTTTAAAGCACAGAATTGGGATTCTACTGAATATAGAGTTTTGTGTTACTTTTAATTTAACATGATATAAGCATTTTCAGTGCAATCACTTTTCAGAAACATTTCTATATAATCCAATAATGTCATCAGGTGCCAATGAGTCAGTTGTGACGCTGCAAACCCATGTGCCCGAGAATCATCGAGCCCTGGTCCTGCACTATCTTCACAACTGTGCTGTTGGAGCTCCCTCCTTCCCTTCATTGACACTCCACTTTACCAAACATGACGTCTCTTGGGATTTCCATTCATTCATCATTGCACATTTCCCTTCCTACTCACCTCCCAGTTCGCTTTTCTCTTTACAAAGATTCGTTAAATCCCTGTGCATATCAAACACTTTTTCCAAAGGGTGAAAAGAAAACCTATCGACTGAGAACAAACATTTGGTAATATAATCTCCGACAAGAGTCTCATAATAAATGTTTATAGAATACTCCTGGGCCTCCACAAGAGAAAGACTGATAAAACAATTACAAAATGGGCAAAAGAAAGAATTTCCACAGAAGAAGATATCAGAATGGAAAACATACACATGAAGAAATTCTTCAAATCACTGGCAGTGAAAGAGATGCAAATCAAAACCACAATGAGATACCATCTCACTCCAGTAACAGTAGCAAAGTTGAACAGGACAGCAAGTAATAAATTTTGGAGAGGATGAGGTGCAATAGGAACTCTTTTATATTGCTGGTGGGCTTATAAAATGTTACAACCATTCTGGAAGGCAGTTTGGCGTTTCCTCAGAAAGTTGAACACAGAAATTCCATATGACCCAGCTATTCCTTTGTTTAGAATATACCCCAAGAGAATGAAAACTGAGGCACAAATAGAGACTAATATACCAATGTTCATAGCTGAGTTATTCACCATCTCAAGCACATGGAAACAGTCCAGATGTCCAACCATAATCAAATGGGCTGAGAAATTATGGTACATTCATACAATAGACTACTACACAGCACTTAGAAGCAATGGTTTTATAAATTATTACCTAGCTTGGGAGGGATTGGAAAGCATTATGCTGAGTGAACTAATTTAGTTCCACAAGACAAATATATCATTACTGTAGAATGAGTATGAGGATCCAAAGGGTGAGGTGGGGGGAGGAGTGATGGTGGATTCAATCATGGGGTTGTACAATTTGATGGGGGGGGTTGGAAGAATCAGGTCTAAAAAAACATGTATCCGAATTTTATAACTAGCATAATAAAAAACCTCCACAATATACATGAATGAAACATAATATAAAGGTATTATTATATGAAAATCAGTAAAAAGTATTTTAAAAAATATTCTTTCATTGTTATACAAACCATCCTTTTTTTTTTAATGAAAATAAGCTTTATTACCTTAAGAAATAAATACAAAGATGTCAATACTGTGGGTCATTTTCTTCCCCTGATGGTGTGTGATCAACATTAATGCACAACTGAAATCACCAAGACCATCTCTGTGTGAAAATTTTCAGGGGGTGGGGGGCTCTTTGATACATTTGGCCAGATATTCTTTATAACGTGTGTGTGTGTGTGTGTGTATATATATAATTTTTATTTTATTATTTTTGTGTGTGTACCATCAAATCCAATCTGACTGGTACAGGAGGAGATTGCCCCTCCTTCTCCAGCAGAGCATCTGGTGGATTCAAACTGCATACCTCAGGGATTGCAGTGCAGCTTCTGACCACTAGGACATCAGAGCTCCATTTCATTTATATGCATATATATATATACATATACATATACATGTATTTTTTTAATTGACTTTTGAGCACTCTGTAAGTGAAAGAGAAGAGGAAGATGAGACACACAGGATCTACAGTTTGCCACCAAATTGGTAGCTTTCCTTACTGTTTGTAAATCAAAACTTGAGAAGGGAGAATAAAACCTATCTCCTGAAAATGCAGGTCCTACCCAAACGCAAACTCTCCCACCTCTAGAGATGGGAGGTTCACAGCCCGTGAGCCAGAAGGAACATGGGAAGAGAAAAAAGCTACCACTCTGAAAACATAGAAAATAGGGGAGATGAGTGGGCAGTTCTCATCCTGGGAGGAGATGGACAATCTCAAACACTGGTGAGGTGCTAGGTGAGGCGCTAGGATCTGGCGTTGTGTGTGGTCTCGGCCAAGAACTCCAGGACCAGACCCCTGGCGTGAATGATGCCTCGCTTCAGCGGTTCTTGCTCCCCACGTAGGTGGACCTGCTCTCCTTGCCAGCTCCTCAATGATGGCCCTTGCTCTGTGGCACCTGGCTGTTCCCAGTGCCCTGGTGTACCTGAGGGATGGTGGCCATAGTCACTCTGCAGCTGGTGGTACTGGGAGGATGTGGCCATGCTGGTGCAAGGAGAGTGGACACGCCCAGCTGCGCTGAGGGTGGCGGTGGCGGCGGCAGGCGTGTGCGCCCGTCCATGCGCCTGTGGGGCTCCAGCACACTTTTTCTTGTGGCCATGTGGACAGCCCGGCAAATATGGCCACCTCCACCCTACTGCCCACCACAGCCATCGGCAGGCACAGCGGTGGCCACAAACTTTTTGCCCTGTCCTCACTTTTAAGGTACATTCTGGTTGTACTTCTTCTAAGACACATTTATTTCTTTCTCTAAGATAGAATTATTTCATATTCTTCACCAACACCATAAATCAAAGGTATTAATTCTTTTTTGTTCTTCTTTATTCACTGCCAGCTTTCATGTGCATATGCTGTCGCACTGGTTCCTACTCATAAAGACCCTTCGTCAAGTTTCCAAAGCAGTAAATCAGTGTAGAAGGACAGTGGTCATGCTTCCTTGCATGCATATGTTGTTACGTATCCTCAAGAAGCACCAGCTCATAGATGACCCTCCAGAGGATTTTTAGAAGCAATATCCTCACAGGAGGAGATTGCCCAGCCTCCTTCCATCAAGTTGCTGGTGGATTCTGTGTGCCTTCAAGCTGGCAGCTCAGCTCCTTATCACTAAGCCACAGAGTTCCTTGTTGTTGTCGGGTGCCATCGAGTCAAGTACGGTGCACAGTGACCCTATGAACAAAAGATCTGAATGCTGTTCCATCCTCACACTTCCTGACACACAAGAGCCCACTGCAGCAGTCACAGTGTCAATCCACCTAGTTGAGGGTTCTCCTTTGCAACCAAAAATACCACAACTTGGATCAGGGAGACCTCAGTTTCTCAAAGTGACATCTTTACTGTGTAGTATTTTAAAAAGATCTTTGCAACAGATCTGCCCAATGTAATATACCATCTGATCTCCTGAAAACGGTTTCCATGGACAGGGACTGTGGATTCAAGTAAAATGAGATTCCTGATAGTCTCAATCTTTTCAGTTTACCATGTGCTGCCGACTGTTCCAGCTGTGAGTTGTTTTCTTTATGCTGCAGTAAAAACCATACCAAAAGCGTCATCGGCAAATGCTTGAAGTTCTCACTTACAGCAAACAAGGTTGTGTGACATGCTATCTCAAGTTTGCTCTTAAATCTTTCTCCAATCCTTATACCTGTCGAATTCTTCATATATTTAAGTTTCTCAGATTTTTGCTTTGTATGTTATATAGTCACCTATGTAAACATTTCACTATTGCTGGGTATTTAAGATAGTTCAAACTTTGCATCACTAACAAAAACCAGAAACACTCTAGTATATCCTTCAATATATCCTTTAAAATATCCTCTCTTTTGTATCTACTTCTATGCCACTACAAATGAAACAATTTTTCACTCTAGAGCTCTTTCCAATATACATTTGTTTTAAATATTGTTCTTGTTATGTACCACTGAGTCGCCTGTAACTCACAGTGACCCTGTATACCTGAACCTTGCTCTATCCTGTGCCTGACTCTAAGTAACTGAACCCTGCTCTATCCTGTGCCAATCTTCTTGTCTCTGCCACACCTACCGCCATTACCCCAATCACCAAATCAATCCGTCCTGAAGTACTTCCTCTTTTGTGCTGTCCCTCCAACATCCAACACATGATGTCCCTTTTCAAGGACCGGTCCCTCCTTGCAACATATCCAAAGTATGTCAAACGAAGCTTCAGAATCCTTGAGTCCAAGCAGCAGCCTGGTTTCACCCTCTTATGATGAACCTGTTTGTTCTCTTAGCAGTCCATGGTACATTCAATATACCTCTCCAGCACCACAGCTCAAAGGCATCAATTCTCCTTCCATCATCCCTATTTATAATAGATATTACATATATGAACTTACTAGATGTATATGTGTGTGTGTGTGTGTGTGTGTGTGTGTACACACACGCGCAGAGTATTCCATGTGACACTCCAAGGTTTTTTTTCCAAAGACGGTCCTTTACTGACAGCTGCTTAAAATATTCCAGTCCTTACTTAATTCAAATAAATTTCAACTCAGTTGGACTGATTCAGACAAAGGCTCTCGGGTGCCAAAGCAACAGGGGGTGTGATCCACTCATGGCCACTGGCCCATCTTCTTCAGGGTTCAACTGAGCTCCTCAAATTTATGGATCTGACAGATGAAGAAATCCCTGTATCACCTGGCAACACTGGTGTCTGCAATGTGGATCATGTCCTTATCGATGCAGAAGTTAACCTCTAAGGCAGACTGAAATTCCCCATCCAGGGCGGAGATGCCGCTGGTC